ACAACCACGTCCTAAAGACAGAATTAAAGCAGCGACTGTATTCGCCACGACACAGACAGTCTGTGGTTTGTACATGTTTAACTTTTGTCTAGTTTCTGAACAGATATGAGGAGCTGTGAGGAGTTGATTAAAGAGACTCTCACACACACACACACACACACACTTTCTGTTTCTTCTGCTCTGAAATGGAATATATTTGTTACATATTAATATCATTTTAGATTTTTTGATTTGATTTTCGATTTGTGAATAGGAGAAGTAGTAGATGTAAAAAATACCAAACACTAATTATTCAAAGTAGTGTATTTAATTTGATATACGGTAATACTAAGGAGGCCTATATGATGATATAATGCTTGACATTATTGATATTAAAAAAGTGATTTGTGTGTTTTTCTTATCAGAAAGTGAAGTTATTTATTCGTAAGCTCCAAATCCAAATGTTTCCCTCAATGGCCTTTGTGCCCTGAAAAAATGTGTGACACCAAAGGCGTGTGTGTGTGTGTGTGTGTGTGTGTGTGTGTGTGTGTGTGTGTGTGTGTGTGTGTGTGTGTGTGTGTGTGTGTGTGTGTGTGTGTGTGTGTGTGTGTGTGTGTGTGTGTGTGTGTGTGTGTGTGTGTGTGTGTGTGTGTGTGTGTGTGTGTGTGTGTGTGTGTGTGTGAGTGAGAGAGGAAGCAAGGATCAAGGTGAGGCCATGTGAGGCTACATTACAAACGCAATTGCAGGATTCTTACTGGTTTATGTTGTGATTAACATTAACCTTCTAAATGCATCTCTGAGTGGATGACCGTTAACACACACACACATATTTATGTATCACCACTGGCCTTTGTCTTGATATTTAAAAAGCAACAATCTGTTTTTATGTTTTTCTTCCATGGGAAGATAATTTTGAGTTTTGTAAACACACACACACACCAACGTCCCAAGGGCAAACAGTGTGAGAGGCACCTGCGGCCTGTCTGATTAACAGCCATTACATAGAGAGGCTAAAGTGTTTTCAGAACAGCAGCGTCAAGTGTCTTCTGAGAATCCATCTAAGACTGATAAGTGTGTGTGTGTGTGTGTGTGTGTGTGTGTGTGTGTGTGTGTGTGTGTGTGTGTGTGTGACTACATGTCAACCATAGTCTCTCCTTAAATTATCAGCAACTGCTTTGTGATGATAGAATTTGATGGTCAAGGTCTAATGACACGCACTCGTCATTTAAAAAAATACCTTTTTCTCAACATGGATTCTGGTAAACATGGCCCATTACCTGTGACATGCTGGAGCAGCAACATTCCTGTCATAAGAAATTATGAACTTTTTGTATGTCAGTAACACTACACAGCAAACTTGAAAAGAACAAGTATTCAAACTACATAGTACCATGTTATTGACAGGCCATACCAGTGGTGGCTGCTTTTTGGTGGTGCATAATGCCTAACAAATGTTAAATTACAAAAGGGCAACTCATGTGACACATATGATAGTGAGGCTGGTCTGTGGAGTGGGATACTCTTTGTAATCCAGCCTTGGTCCTCATGGATATTAATGGATTCACTTTGTTTTTAGAGATAAACATTATACTGTGTACATTTCATAACAACACATATTCCCTGAATGCATTATTTATCTCCCTTACTTAAAGTAAGACAGTCTTTGGAAAAAAATAGTTTATCAATCAGATATCATTTACCAGGTTTGAACTAAATCATGTAGTTAACAATAATCAACAATACCTTCTGGTTTTCATTTGAGTGGAAACTGTTGTATGACTTAAGTAAAATATCATACCATCATTCACCTGCAGCCTCGCATCATTTTGTTAATAGGTCAATAAATGAATCTTTCCTGAATCTTCCTTGTCTTCTGCAACATCCGAACATTCTATGACCCAATCGAATGCAAAGGCAAGAAAACACCTCACATAAAAACAGCTGTCGTGGTTGTTGGCAGTCTCCATCTTATTTGTTTTTTCAACAAAGAAGAGTTAAGTACAACCGAGAGCTAAACAAGATATTTCTTCTCAAGCAAAATGTCACAGTTAACTTTTACAGTGTATAGACACACTTTTTTAAAAAGGGCAATATGTTCTTATACAAAAACAAGAACAAGACCTAAACTGGACAACCCTGGCCTGCGGTACCGATCTGTCAATCACATAGAAGCCTCGCTTAAAAGCTTTATCGTCTTTAAATCGGGGCTACTAAATGGAACATCATGTACAAAATGAACATCATGCTGAATTCAGGAATATATAGCGATTAAAGCAGATGATGTGCACAATGTTTAAGTCAAGTGGGAGGTATAGGGTAACTCTCTCATAGACTTCTATTCAACCTGAGTTCTTTTTGCAATTAGTCGCCCCCTGCTGGCCTTTGAAATAATGCAGGTTCAAGGCACTTGCTACAGCTAAAATTGAACTAGGATGAGTTTCGTTGGCCACAGTGGTTTCTCTAAAATAAATACTAATCCTTGATTTTTTTTAAACATCGCAGGTTTCCAGAAAAGATCTCATTCACCTCCAGAAACCCCCTGAGAGAGTAACCTTTCTGCTGGAAGGAAAGGTCATGTTAACCCGGTTGGAGCAGAGGTCTGAGGATGAAAAGGGGCAGAACTGCTTTATAAGAGCATCAGTCTTTTTATTAGAGCATTACATATTTGACATTTTGGTCTGAGCAGCCTCTGTCTGATAATTTCGTTTATCGGGTTATTTGCCTCCACCCTTGACTGCACACATTCCAATACTAAAAAAAAGAATAACAGTTTGAATGCGCCGATGTTGACTGACACAGGAAGAGTATTGTCAGTCACATCTCAGATGGTCAAGTTCTCGACCCAACACGTGTTACTCATCCTGATGGGCTGTCTATCGGTTGTATGTGATCTTTCCTGGCTGAGGTGTGAGGCATCCATCACCAACAAGCCTCCAGCGCCAAAATCCACATCAGTTTTTTAAATAAACGTGCATGCCTCCATTATAGTCTAGTTGCCAGCCGAGTGAACACAAACATGTTGAGTGACCCAAGGTTTTATGTTAGAAATGTATAGTACGGGTCCCCAGCACATAGAAACTACAGGATGCTAACTGTTGGGCAATTTGCACAATTAGCATGAGTTGCATTCATTAACATTCATTAGCAATGCAGACAATATATACACAAATGCATGGACAATTTTGGTCCGATATTTGAGGTATATTGAGGATGTTAAATCAATTTCTGACATTTTTAGGAATACAAAATCACATTTTGAGTCCCCTAAAATATTCAAACGTCAAAATCTAAATCAGCCATTTTTGTTCCTGAAAATGTCAGAAATTGACTCAACATCCACAATATCGTCCGAAATCACTCTAAAATGTTCCAAATTGGCCAAGTCATTTTCAGCTATTGTCTGCACATGCAACTTTTGTCTGTAATGCAACTTTTAATGCAAGTTAGCATCCTCCAGTTTCTGTGTGCTTGGGACCCATACTTTTTCTAACTTAAAACGTTGGTGTACTCAACATGTTTGCCTTCACTATAACACTCTATGAGCTGGCAAACAATATTAACATATGCGATGACTTCCTGCAATGTGGCGGCCAGTAGCCTCACCTCTTTAGCCCCAACAAGCTAGCTGCTGACCACACCCTTAGGAAAAAAGAAAATGGTCCACTTTCCCACAATTCCACCACACACAATTTGATTTATTGCTGCATTTGTACATTACCAATTTCATACAGGCCTCTCTTTTGTCAGCTTGCACAATTTTTTCGAGCTTTAGTTGATCCCCACCACCTTTCCTGCTCTCCTCCCACTGATATGAAGTCATCAGGGTCGCTATGACTATGATGTAGTCAGGGGAAAACAGCTGAGATGTTGATGTCCAACTTTCTATTTTTCTCCTGCTGTGAGTCGGGCAGGGCTTTGGTAATGAGAGCCTGGGGACCTTGCTATGCTGTGTGTGTGTGTGTGTGTGTGTGTGTGTGTGTGTGTGTGTGTGTGTGTGTGTGTGTGTGTGTGTGTGTGTGTGTGTGTGTGTGTGTGGTGTGTGTGTGTGTGTGTGTGGTGTGTGTGTGCGTGTGCTGTGTGTGTGTGGTGTGTGTGTGTGGGTGTGTGTGAGTGGGTGTGTGGGTGGGTGTGTGTGTGTGTGTGTGTGTATAATCCTCCTTAAAAAAAAGTGATCACTGAGTGTTTCTGAAAGGAAACCAGTTGTTGCCATGTTGTTATCGATGTGTCTATAAGAGTTTGTGTGTACAGGTTGTAAAGTGAGTGCTAAGCCGATGATAAGCATGAACGCCCCCAAACCCTTTATCCTCTCCCTCCTTCCCTCCTTCCTTTTCCTTCCCTGCCTCACCTTCCTCCATCCCTTATCTTTCCTTGTTTCCCCTCCTCCCGTTCTCCTCTCTTATCGCCGGGCTAATTGACTCAGCCAGATTTGGCAACAGGCGTATTAGTGTCATTTCGCACAAGGAGTGACCTATGCAGAAAGTGCAGCGTGACAAGACCTGCAATGCAATGATCGCTAAATCCAATTTCCCATACATGCAAACGACATAGGCCTATAGTTTCCCTCAATGTATCTAATTACCTTTAACAACTTTTCTCTGAGTGGTGGACCAGAATTTATCAACATTGTGTGTGTTTTTTTAAAAGAATGTTTAGAATTCAGATTCAGAGCAAGTCAAATATAAAGTGTTAAGAAGCTGAATTATTTCCAAAAACAGGGCAGGAACCTGAGGGAAACATATGTTGTTACAAGGGTCTGCTTATATTTAGGCCTAAAGCTAAAACAAATTGTAAATCTGCTGTGTTTCTCTCTCTCTTAGCATCCTCAGACTGGTCTGAACTTCTCTACACAGCCATGCAATTTAATGACACTGCAAAGGTGTCCTTCCTCCCGCAGGTAAAGAAGGTGTGCGTGAGTCAAGGTGTCGGAGTGATTTGTGTGAGGATTTCTGCGATGATTAATCCTCCAGCGTCACTAAAAGTATGCGTGTGTGCGCGTGCGTGTGTGCAGAGCTCACGCTTACCGCTGTGCGCGCTGAACCAGCGGGGCGCGATGTGCAGGGGCAAGGTGTCAGCCAGCGACCCCCGGGAACCCAGATAGAGCACCCCCTCCGTGTGGTGCCCTCCCCCAGTGTCCTGGTAGCCGGTACCGTGGAGGGCGGCGGTAGTGCCCCTTGACCCCCCCACGGCTCTGTCCGAGTCTGTCCCTCTGGGGGTGTAGAAGCCGAAGGGCATGGCGGGGCTGTGGTCGATGCCCATCCCGGCCACGGAGCTCACCGAGCGACTGCGTAGGCCCATGGGGCCGCTAGGCCGGTAGTGGCCGAAGTGGGCCGAGGGTGGCACTGCGCTGTCATCTGTAGAGACACCGGGGAAAGCACCCCGGGGCCGGCCCGCCGTGCTTTGCTTTCCTCCCATCCAAAGCAGGAAATAGGTGGGTTCTGTTCGGAAACAGGAGGGGGCTCGGCTCGATCCGCACAGGGTCGAGAGAGCCGAAACAGGCTGTCGCCCCCCTCCCCTCGCTCCTGTCTGTCTCTCGGCCTGCTGTCTGTCTGTCTGTCTGTCTGTCTGTCTGTCTGTCTGTCTGTCCTTGTGTCTCGGCAGCAGGCTCGTCAGCTCTGACTCTCTGCAGACGCAACAGCCCGCTCCGCTGCCGAGCGGAACATGAGCCCGCCCCGAAGTCTGGATTCAGCTCACCCGCAGACACAACCGGGGGATGTCTGAGGAGCCGAGTGAAGCCGATAGTCCTGAATGACACAACGATGTTACAGCTCACTCCCTCGCTGTCCCAGGTGGTTAGCACGGCGGTATCATCGCAGGCGGGACGCGGCAGCAACACGTTTATCCCGCCCGGCCGGGAGCACAGCAGCGCCGCAGTGTTCGCTCCTCTGCTCCCGCCTCATCTGATCTCAGACATCGTGACAACTGTTGCTGCCTGTCTGACCGACGACAGTCTGCCTTTGAAAAAAAAAACAATGACGTCTGGTCCGTGATGTCTGTCCGGTGTTGTCCGAACAGCTGTCGCTTTTTCTCGCGGGGATCGGGTCACAGTGAAGCCGCTCCCCTGCGCTCACATCGGCCCTCCGCTGCTCTCCGCTCCGCCGCCGCTGCTTCTGCTGCTGCTGGCCAGACAATGGAGGCGCTCAGTGCGCAAGCCCGGATCATAAATAGCCTAGAGACAGGATAGGAGACAGTAGGCTGCTGAGAGAAGGCAAATACACTTTGCTTTAATTCACAATCAATAGGGATGTTGACTGCAGTGTGACCTTAAAGTCATCTGAATCATGGGGCATTTATTTTAGGAGGTGACGAGGTGAGGCAGTGGACACACCAGGTAGACCTCTTCTACAGCAATAGCCTACTAGATCCTAAATAGTTTTGACTTTATTTATGTTAGTAAGAGCAAGACTATAAGCAAAACAATATATAGCTCTAAAAACAGATGTCCATCTGCATATCCAATTTTACAATATTCGTTATGGAATTGGAAATATTTGAAGGGCAAGGAAATCCCCTCTGAGTTTGTATATATATATTTTTTTTATTCTTTATTTGGGGTCACATTATAATACAATTACAGTTTTTCAAATCATATATTTTTAGAGACCCGAAAGTGACAAATGAAATAGCAAACAAAATTAGCCAAAATAAAATAAAAACGAAAAAGTTTACAGGGGTTGTTTGAAATAACAAATGTCATATGCATATCAACATACATACAATACACACATACATACACATCTATACATATACATTCAATCGGTGTTTAGAAACACAGTCAAACAAGGGATGGTCGTCTTTGGGATATGTAAATTCTCCACTTTTTCCATATTTCTTCAAATGTATTTTCCTGAAGCCTCATTGAGAAGGTGATTATTTCCATAACATAGATTTCATGGATTTTGTTGTACCAGTTGTCAAGAGAAGGGATATCCGCTTTGAGACATTTTCTAGTTATTGCTTTTTTTGCTGCAACAGTAAGAATTCCAAATAATTGTTTTGTTTTGGAGTTTGTGTGGATTGAATGTACGAGCCCATAGAAATTCGTCCCATGGGATTTTTTCCTGTAGTACTATTTCAATTTCTATATGGATCTTTTGCCAAAAAGTTACTATTAAAGGGCAAGCCCAAAAGAAATGTTAGTGATGTGCTAGCTGAGAACCACATTTCCTCCAGCAGCTGGGGGGCCTAATGTGATGACTGAGCAGGGCTGAAAAAGTACCTGCTCAGCATCTTCCAACTAAACATTCTGCAGGTGCCTGAGCTCGAGATCTTCCATTGAAAAGTACAGTAATTTGTCCAGACTTCGTCAGGGATGTTTTTTTTTGTTTCGTTGTCCCATTTGTGTTTTATATAGAAAGTATTTTCCTTTTTAATATCTTGAAGAGCTTGGTAAAGTTTTGAGATTACTTTCATCCCTGTGTCTGATGTGTATGCACTGGTGAAAACTATTAATAAAGGGTTTTCAAGGGCCTTCTGGCTGTCTGACAGGGAAGTATTTAAGTAATGGTGTACCTGTAGAAATCTAAAAAAATCACCGTTATTCAATCCATATCGTTTTTTTAGTGTTAGAAAATCAAACATGGTTCCTTTGCTGAAAAATGTGCAATATGAAGTAAGGCCATGTTTGGCCCAACCTTTACATTTTGTATCTAGCTTGCTCGGGGTGAAATCAAGATCATGTGAGCACCATCTTAATATCTTCATTTCCTCCAGCAAGTCACTCCTGGTAAGGACCCTTAACCATCATTTTAAGGAGAGGTTGATCCAGCGGTTATCTTTTTCCAGTACGTTTTTAACATGTCTTTTATCCCCTAACCTTGCCTTGATTGGTACTCCCCCTGATACATTATTCTCAATGTCTTTCCATCTAGCTCTGTAGTCTGGCTTGCACCAGCAGAACAAGCTTCTTAATTGGGCTGATATAGTCCTTCAAGCAGGGGAGCGCTACTCCTCCCTTGTTTTTTGCTAGTTGAAGAGTACAGAATCTAATCCTTGGTTTCTTCCCTTGCCAAATGTACCTTGATATGGTTTTATCCTTTTCGTTAAACTGCTTGTCTGTGATTTCAATTGGTAGATTCTGGAAAAGGTATAAGAGTCTAGGATGTGAGTTTATTTCTTAACCCTTATGCTGTGTTCGGGTCTCCCGTGACACGTTTCAAGTTAAAAGAATATAATAACTATGCACTAGTTTTTTTGTATCGGAACAAGGCTTCATGATATCATCAACAACAGCTATATAAACACTACAAAACTGATTTTGACAATTTTAGCGAAGTCTGAAGGTCTCTAAAAAAAAAAAGTGTATCATTTGGTGTTCGGGTCTGGGAAGACCCAGCAACATTGTTGTGGGTGACTCTGGGTCAAATTTGGCCCAATCAAGATTGACTTTAGACTTTAGAAGAAAATACATAAAGCTCCTGATCTTGCTCTTCCCACCATACTACCAAGCCCCCAGCCAGCATATAATTGTCCTTACAAGTTATTCACATATTTTCCCACCATATTTGCTAAATTATTGCGATTACTGCACCGTAAAATATTACCATGATTTCACAATATTTAGCTGTAATATTTTACAATAAATGACTGTTTTACCACTTTACAGTCTTTACCTGTAATGTTCACAATATAATACTGTAATTTTGAATTTCACAGTGAAATCAACGCAGGCACGGTTACTTACTGTGAATGTACAGGATAAATGATTACCAGGATTTCACAACATGTTACTGTATTATTTCACAGTAAAATACTGTATTCAGACCATCCTCTGTGATAACACAACACATGAATTGATTTTATTGCTTTTATCGCTCTTGCTTGGCTTTAAATACTAATTTATTTCTTTGGTGCAGGTTTTACTTCAATTGAAAGGGGCACCGCTGCATGTGCCTTAAAATAAACGATGCAACATATAAATCAGGGGTCGGCAACAAGCGGACCTATATTCAATACATTAATAGGGGATTTCAATTTTGACGGGGTGATTCTATTTTAACCGCTGCCGACAGGGGGCGAAAGAGACGAGTGAGCGATACAGGGAGAGAAACACAGAAGAAGAGACGAGAGCGCGGCAGAGAGAAGCGGAGAGGAAAGTGAGTGAAGAGAATAATAATTAGCGATACAGAGAGAGAAGACGGAGAGGAGAGTGAACAGGCGTGTTAGCGGCAGACAGGGAGAGACAAATAATTACACATGGCGCTCTCCAAGAAGAGGAAAGTGGACAGTGAGAACAGAGCTTTTAACCCTGAGTGGACGGACTCATTCATGTTCATCCTGCCCATGGGAGCACAGAACCAGTTTTGTCTCATTTGTTCAGAGACCGTGGCGCTCATTAAAAGTGCCAAAACGCCACTATGAGACAAAAAAAAGTGTTTGACCAAACATTCCCTCTCAAGTCAGAACTGAGGTCACAAAAAATTAGCAGTCTCAGAGCCCGATATGATCAGTCCACCAGGATCAAAATTAAAACTAAATATCGCTCCAGGGCAGGTTAACCGAGGCTAACCAATGAGCACCTGCATGTGTGTATGAGAATGGCCCTGACACCATTTCAGCCCAGATTGAATCTCCTGGCAGGACAAGCTTGAGCTCAATTCTCGCACTGAATTAAAAAAAAGTGAGTGAGGGACTGCAATATAAGAGGGAAAGAAAGAGAAACTTTAAAACTGTTCAATTGTTATGATGTGTAAAGACTGATATTGTTCTGTAATCGGCTGAAACAAGTAATGATGTGAAACGGTTAACAAAGAAAAAGGGACCCTCGAGCTGCTGCTACACTTTATTTATTCATCTAAAATTAAGCACTTTTGAGGTACACACATTTTCAAAAGCTATTTTATTTATTTTCTCTATTTTATTTTTAAATGCAGCCCGAGAGGAACATTACACATATCCACAGTATTTACTGTATATCTGTATAGTTCAATGTTAATTGACAATAAATATTGTTGTTTTTTAATTGTACTTTCTTTATTTGATTGGCAGTCAGTTGTTGATTACATGCAGACGTTGATAAAGCTACAGGCTACTTCAATATATATCACACTAATTCATAAAGCAAGTTAGACATTTTGAAGTTCCGGACCTTTGCATGGGGAGATTTTCTCTAACTGGACCTCGTTGAATTTTAGTTGAATACCCCTGATATAAATCTATGTAAAATTGAAATTGTTGTCTTGGCTTATTGTTTTCAGGTGCTTCCTGGGCATTAATCCTGAGACGGGCTCGAAAGCCAAAAAGAGGCATGGCAATTTAAACCCCCATGTCAGCACATTCTTCAGAAAAATTGTTGCCTTCGAGTGGATGTCTGTGTAGACATGTGTTACGTGCTCCCCTCCAGGTGAGCAGCCTTCACCCGGTCCACCGAGACGTGCTCGGCTCTGCCACCCAAGCCACGCACTCACCAGCCCAAGTCCTCACGTCCTTTTTCAGCCCCCACTAGACGAACTTCGCGATCACCAAGCGCACCGAAGGCTTACCGCCGGGGTGTGACAGGTCGTGCACTGCCTCAAACACGGAGCGCCTACAACTGGCGGGAACGACTGGCCGCGGCAGGCCCGTGGAGACGTCACACAGGAGAGTACCGCCCGCGTCGCCGAACACCACGTCCTCCAAGCGCAGCCCCATGCCCTCCTCCTTCAGGGCCTGGACGCCGGGGTCTGTGACCTGGTCCGCCGGCATGCGGGTATAGTCCAGGACCAACTGGATGGCTCCGAATACGACTCTGGAGAGGCAATCTGCGACAAGGTTTGATTTGCCAGCCACGTGCTTAATGTCTGTGGTGAACTCCGTGATGTAAGACAGCTGCCGCTGCTGACGTGCAGACCAAGGCTCTGCCACTTTTGACATGGCGAACGTGAGCGGCTTGTGGTCAACAAACGCCGTAAATTCACGGCCCTCCAGCAAAAAACGGATGTCCCGCACGCAGTACTGTGGCATGGGGAAAAATGAGCCACTCTCGAGCCGAAACTCTAATAATCATTCATTCACAAACTAAATCAGGGGACCTTTAACGTTTTACGTCCGATTCGCTCCTTTTCAGCTCCACTTTGGGCATTGGCCTGTCATCAGATTTAATTTTGAATTGCTGCTGTAGCGGAGGTTCAGTTCAATTATTTTTGATTAAATA